AAACTATCTACACAAACTGTGTAAAAGTGCTCAACAAAAACAAACTGAACCAGAGAGCCGACACTGTGTGGAGACAGAAACTGAACTTGGACATTGGTGTAAAACCAGGTTGGAGGGTTTTATATAAACCTCCTGTTAAAAAGAGAACTGGAGACCTACAGTGGAGGATTTTGCACGGTGCTATTGCGGTTAACGCTTTTATTTCTGTTATTAATCCCACCGCTTGTAGCCAATGTCCATTATGTGAGGAGGTAGAGACCGTGTTCCACTGTTTTTATTATTGTGACAGACTCTGCAACCTTTTTAACACACTGCAAGATGTTTTTAAAGGGTTTGGTGAGACCTGGTCCAGGACCACCTTCATTCTAGGAGTCTTATATAAAAAAGTGAACGCCTCCAAGTGGAAGCTGTTGAACCACTTGTTTGGAGAGGCCAAACTGTCAATTTACAAAAGTAGGGAGAACCGAGTAGAGGACAGAGCAGGACAGGAAGCTCTCCCTATGTTCATCGCTCTGGTCAGAGCAAGAGTTTGGGTTGATTTTAGATATTTCAACAGTATGAACAACATGAAGGATTTCATTAAAAAGTGGTGCTACAGTGAAATAATATGTTGTGTGGCTGGAGAAGAACTAGTTTTTAACGCTCCTTTTAACACACTGTGAGGAGTAACTGTTTTGTTTGTTCATATTGTTTTAAGTAAAATAAAGGTTTTCTAAAAATCAAAAAAAATCTGTCTCTATGTCTCTCTGTCTATCTCTCTGTGTTTCTCTCTTTCTTTCTCTCTGTGTGTGTCTCTCTCTCTCTGTATCTCTCTGTGTCTCTCTGTATCTCTCTCTCTTTCTCTCTCTCTCTGTGTCTGTCTCTCTGTATCTCTCTTTTGCTCAGTCAGCTGACTCTTTCAAGCTAAACCATCAGATTCAGCCACAATCTCCCTGAGCCAATTGTGTCGTTTTTGTCAAACTTAAAAACTGTTCCCGCTCCACATCCCAGCATCCCGAGGGGGGGGGGGGGTCCCTCTAACAATGGACTGTCTCCTCTAATTGAACTGTTCTTAAATACAGTATATGTACAACGGTACTTGTTCTTTACCAAAACATTTCTATGCTACTTTATAATTGTACTCCACTGCGTTTAGAGGGAAATATAGTTCTTACTCTAACACGTGTTTGGCAGCTATAGTTAATCATAATGTGCAGATAATAAATACAAAACATGTGGTGAGCTTATAAACCATATGATGCAGTGTAGATGAATGTAGCTAAACATTTGCTGTGCTTTTTGCAGACAGAAAAGGCCCCTTACATGTTAAAGAATCAGTTATAATAATCCAATGATATGAATAATATAAAACACTCTGAAAGGAGTCATTCTGCATAATGATCAGTACTCTTGATGCACGCTGAGTACACTTTGCTGATTGTACTTCTGTACTACTGTACTGCTACTTGCGAATGAAGGACTTTTATGTTGAGTATTCATATAGTGGTACCTTTATACCTACTGCATCCCAACAACAAAGACAATATAAAACTTAATAAGTTGTCAAATTGAATGGTTTGCAGAAGATACGTTCAATGACTCCACTTATTAATACACACTTCAAAGTAACTACAGTAAGGACAATATGACAGAAGTCAGAAGAAACACCAGTATCATCCTGCAGGTCACTATGACCTCACATTGTGACTGTAACACAGGGCTACTGTTGACATACAATATTACTATAATATATTTAATAATGCCACACTCTGTAGACAGACTGTGTGGGACTGTTACAGGATTGAAATAGGACTTCAGTCCCTTGTGATCATACAAATATCATAAAGTACAACAAGGTCATCATGTAACGTGTTACATACAAGTCGCTGTAATAATAGTGTGTCATCTATTAGGTGACAAGACATAATCAACTATAAATGCTGTGTTTTTTCTTTGAGTCGCCCTCCCTCACGTTCAGACGTGCTCTGATCCACTTCCAGCGGAACCAGACCTGACTCACCCTGTGTGCAGCCCCGGGGCCTAACCCAACAAGCCCAACTTGACAGCCCTTTAAAATGTCCCCGTTAACTCGTCCTCTGCAATGACACTTCTCCTCACACATCACACACACACACACACACACACGGGCCTCTGCAGATGCAGACGGCGGAGCCCGGGCCCGGTCATTCTCCCCCGGAATTTGGTACTTCTGTGTGCGATTTGCGCAGAGCAGCAAAAAAATCCCACGAAACCGCAGCATCATCCAGAAGATGCGCAGAGAGAGGCGGGGGCTCGTGTGCACCGGGTACCAGGAGAACACTGCATTGACAATAGTGTTCCGAGCCTCCTGGGCACCTCCCGCACCTGAGCAGCACTCTACCCTGCTATCATTATTCACATCCTCGGTTCTCGTCATCGCCCCCGGTCTTGCCCCGCCGGAACCGGGACTCCACCCGATGCGTCAGTGCGCGATGGAAGCTACAACTACAGAGCATCACAGCAGAAAGTAGAAAGTGTCCGCTTACCTGCGCCGGTCCGCCACTCCTCTCCCCTCTGCTGCACCGGGCACCGTCAACTCCGCAGCGGCATCAGAAAACTATCCACCGCCCCCTCGGTGCTGTCGGCCCTAACGGATGACTCCGTGTTTCTGTCAATGCAGTGCGAGTCTCTCTCTCTCTCTCTCTCTCTCTCTCTCTCTCGCTCGCTCGTGGACTCGCTGCACTCTTCCCCTCCTTTCAGCTGTTCTCTCTTTGAGAGCGCGCATCCCCGGTTGTTTCGCCACGTGCACGCGCTCCCCAAGTAACGTAACACGGGTTGGCGGGCGGGCAGGTGGAGGGCACGGCGAGTCCTGTGGCCAAAATATAATGATGGTGGATACTTAACGTTAGATCACTAAATATAGCTTTATCTTATATTAGTACCAAATTATGATAGGACACAATAGACAAACCAAATCACATGTATATGATTGTATAATGGACTACATATGCTTTTAGTAGGCCACAAACATGGGGAAAATATCATGTAAAAATGATTTGTGACATCACCTGAGAAATATGGCTTTAAATCACATGACAATTTATTAGAACAAAACGTTGACTTGAAAAAAGGCTCTGGCACCAGGACCAGACGGTGTGCCACCCTCCTGCCTGAAAGCCTGTGCTGACCAGCAGGCCCCCATTTTCACACAGATCTTCAACCGATCACTGGAGCTATGTGAAGTCCCCTCCTGCTTCAAACGCTCCACGATCATCCCGGTCCCCAAGAAATCCTCCATCACAGGATTAAATGACTACAGACTGACGTCTGTGGTCATGAAATCCTTTGAGAAACTGGTGTTGACCCATCTGAAGGACATCACAGGGCCCCTGCTGGACCCCCTGCAGTTTGGTGCAAACAGGTCGGTGGATGATGCAGTCAACATGGGACTGCACTACATGCTGCAACACCTCGACTCCCCAGGGACATATGCAAGGGTTCTGTTTGTGGACTTCAGCTCAGCGTTTAACACCATCATCCCAGCAATACTCCAACCCAAACTCTCCCAGCTCACTGTGCCAGCCTCCACCTGTCAGTGGATCACAAACTTCCTGACAGACAGGACGCAGCAGGTGAGGCTGGGAAAAATCACATCCAGTACTCGGACTATCAGCACTGGCGCCCCCCAGGGGTGTGTGCTCTCCCCACTGCTCTTCTCCCTCTACACTAATGACTGCACCTCAGAGGACCCAACGGTTAAACTCCTGAAGTTCGCAGACAACACAACAGTCATCGGCCTCATCAGGGACGGTGATGAGTCTGCGTACAGACGGGAGGTTGAACAGCTGGTCCTCTGGTGTGGTCAGAACAACCTGGAGCTTAACAGGCTCAAAACTGTGGAGATGACAGTGGACTTCAGGAGGAGCCCCCCAACACTGCCCCCCCTCACCATACTCAACAGCACGGTGTCTGCTGTGGAGACCTTAAAGTTTCTGGGATCCACAATCTTCCAGGACCTGAAGTGGGCTCCGAACATCAACACCATCCGGAAAAAGGCCCAGCAGAGGTTGTACTTCCTGCACCAGCTCAAGAAGTTCAACCTGCTTCAGGAGCTGCTGATTCTGTTCTACTCAGCCATCATCCAGTCTGTTCTCTGCTCCTCTATCACTGTGTGGTTTGGATCAGCCACCAAACAGGACAGGAACAGACTGCAACGGATTGTCAGGTCTGCAGAGAGGATCATTGGTTCCAGCCTGCCGTCCATTCTGGACTTGTTCACCTCCAGAGTCAGGAAACGGGCTGGAAAGATCTCTGCAGACCCCTCACACCCTGGACACAAGCTGTTCTAACTCCTCCCCTCTGGTAGGCGCTACAGGGCTCTGTACGCCAAAACCACCAGACACAGGAACAGCTTCTTTCCACTGGCCATCACTCTCATGAACAATAAATAAGTTATACTGCACTACTACCACCACTTACAATTCATGCCATTGTCTATAGGTTTATGTTCACATGTGTATATATATATATATATACACTTTTTCTCTCAGATATATAGTTATACTTATATTGTATATAGCTAAATGTTTATACCTACATCCGTTCTACGTTGTAAATTTGTGTTTGTACATTGAGAGCGGAGTGGAAACCGGAGACAAATTCCATGTATGCGTAAGCACATGGCCAATAAAGCTGATTCTGATTCTGATTCAAAGTTGTAGCCTTGTAGCTAGCTACTCCTTAGCTTCAATAGCTGTTGACAGGTTGGATTTATGTGCTTTTAAATGCAACCTGGTTTCATGATGAAGAAAAGTATGAAAAGATAGAACTTTTCTCTATCCATTAATATTCTCAGCATTCTTTTCAGCTGTCTTATTTTTGCCAAAATATGGCTACATACAGTTTGTCACTTCAACGCAGTTAGCTTAACTGTCAACATGTTAACAGTTATTTGTTGTTAAGAGCAACCACTAGACTAAAGTTATAGGATGTATATTATTAGTGTCATTTTAGTTTTTACTATAGCATAATAAGTAGCCTGTCACCACACAAAAGGCGTCACATAAACTAAGCTCTACCGGCAAGTAGAGTTAAGAGTAAAGTTAATGCAACCCAAGCTAGCTAGGCATTAGCCACTATATGACCATGGCATGGTGCAGTAGCTAGCTCTAAGCATGGTGGGTCATTCATGTTACACAGAACGAGATCGGCACTATTATTTTACTTTTTTTTATTTTTCAGCTTTGACACCTGCAAGACCATTGTGTGTGTAACCAGAATACTACTTGGCCTAACAAGGACATACTCTATATCAATTCAATTCAATTTATTTTTGTATAGCCCAAAATCACAAATTACAAATTAGCCTCAGACAGCTTTACAATCTGTACACATACGACATCCTCTGTCCCTCACATCAGAACAGGAAAAACTCCCCCCAAAAAAAACTTTAACGGGGAGAAAAGAGGAAGAGACTTGTGGGAGATCCACAGGGATCCCTCTATCAGGATGGACAGAAGTGCAATAGATTTCATGTGTACAGTCAATGCATATGACAGAACCACGGCAGGAGGCAAGATCAGGGTCCAGGTATATCCACGTAAACCTGTGAGGCGAGAAAGCACAAAGACTCTGGTGAAGAAGCAAAGTCAGTAATGTGCGCTAATGGTATAGGTAATATAAAATAGTAATGTGAGGAATAATAAAAATGATATTAGCAGTGGGAGTCAGCAGGGCCATGGCGGGAAGAAGGACCAGGGTCCAGATATAACCACAATCCATGAAAACCTGCGAGGAGAGAAAGCAAAGACTCCGTGGAAGAAGCAAAATTAGTAGTGAGCATTAATGGGACATCAATCAATAAATGCCTATACCTCAGGATCTGACAGGCCTGATTTTAACATATGAGTTAATGCATTCAATGATAAAGTTATTTTCACATATGTTATGGTTTAATGACTTCCGCATTACCAGACAACAAAATAAACAAACAAACATTCTCAACTTGGGATGGTTTCTATTGCTTTAAATAGGCATTAATGTAGGGTGTAGCCTGCATGATGTTTAGAGGTTATTTCAAAGCCTGAAAACATTTCAAGGGGCTTAGTATAATACTGAGTCTACACAGTAATGGTATCATAGCCATAGAAATTCTACCAACCGCCAGCATAAAACACCATCTTTTTGTGTGTAAATTATTCATAATTCAATGTAAACCTGAACACAATGCCTACTGATAACTTTTTATTCCTTATTACTTTATTCTGCTCTGACTTTATTGATGTATGTTAAAACAAAGTCTATATAAGATATTTACCAATAGTACAGTCAATAAAAAAAATAAAACAGAAAGACATGTTTTTACTTTTAAATGATAATAATCTGTCAAGTTATAGCAGAATAAAACATGTTTGAGTTTTTCTTTCCTTCAGCTTTGGGAGACAGTTGCCAAATACTATCTTTAGAATCTAAAAAGTATCTTTCTTTATTACTTGCTGTGCTTTCAAAACTACTAAAGGTCACGTATTTATTAATGGCAATAATCATTACATCAGTTTTACCATCTATATGTGCGTTTTGTGTAAATCAGGAATAATTCATTGAAAATCTGAACATTTGATTATATTAGCACTGAAACCAACATGTCATGAGCTGGATTAATCTAGTTCATGTTGTGTCGGCACCGGGACAGACCCATTACACACACACACACACACACACACACACACACACACACACACACACACACACACACACACACACACACACACAGAGCAGGCCCAGCTTCTTGTCCCACTTCATACCAGTGCTGGCTTTTTTATTTATTAACTATGATGAAAATCTTTAACCAGGCAGTTTTTGATTCCTAAACTTCAAAAGGTGCACCCCAACAATTACATGTGAAAGTCAGTTTACTAGTCAGTAGTACCGAGCCATTTTAACCACAATTATTTTATTTTCTTTACTGACAAGAGCTGACGAAACCGATGATCTCAATGGTGAACATCAATGGCTCCAAGGCCTCTTCTCATCTGAGAACATGAAAGAACATTGTGTCTTTTATACTGTTTCCATCTCTATTTTCTCTGACACAAAAGGAAAGCACACATGGTTATTTCATTAGTAGGCTGAAGCTAAATCTTATTACAATACATCATATATATATATATGACAAAATGAGTATTCAAAGTGCTAAATTATATTTTGACCAAACAATTATGTATTCTTTCATTCAATTATTTGGAACAAGTCTTTAACTTCCATGGTTTGCTACCAATTTCACAGACTTCCAGTGTTCCATAAAGACACCTCTTTATCCTTATATACAGTAAGACGACTTCTCATCTCTGTTTGTTAATTTATTTGGATCCACTAGAGGGAAGCAGAGTCAAACACAGCTGGTTTGTGCTCAGAGGTGAGAGCTCAGTATTACAGGAGCAGCTGAGTTTCACTTTGAGAAGAATCTTAAACAACGTGTTGGTACTTTTTGTCTGGTGTGGATGAAGAGAACCAGTGAACTAAAAAAAGGAGTCGGGGCCACCTGAACTTGACTTAAAGGGTCCAGTCCCCCAAAGAAAAACCCGTTGATGTGAATATCTGTGTCAACGTGGTGGTGCAGGGGTTAACACTGTTGCCTGCAACAAGAGGTGACAACAGAGTTCTGGATTTTTCTGGTTGGAGTGTTCATGTTCTCCTTGGGTCAGCGTGGGCTTTCTGCAGCTTCTTCTCAGGTTAATCGTCCGTAGTGAATGAGAGCTTGAATGTCTGTCTGTCTCTCTGTGATGGACCCGTGCAGGATGAACTCTACCTCTCAGTCCTCTGTGACCCTCAATAGATAGTGAAGTCACTAGATTTCTGAGTTTCTGTCAAATTGAAGTAAATGTTAAACTATTCAATTTTCCTCTATCATTATTCTATTATTCTATTATTAATTCAATTCAATTTATTTTGTAAAGCCCAAAATCACAAATTTGCCTCAGAGGGCTTTACATTTTACAATCTGTACACATACGACATCCTCTGACCTTTGACCCTCACATCAGAACAGGGAAAACTCTCCCAAAAAAACCTTTAACTGGGAGAAAAGAGGAAGAGACCTTAGGGAGAGCAACAGAGTAGGGATCCATCAGGATGGACAGAAGTGTGATAGATGGCATGTGTACAGAATGAACAACATAACAGAGTTACAACACAGTATTATTATTATGGTATTATATTAGGGTGCAGGAGAACTCTCAGAGATAGATCACATGTCATCAAATTAATCTAGATACACTACCATGACCGGAGAAATTATTTTGTTTTTTTGGGTGAACTGACTCTTTAAAGCTATGTAGGCTACAGCTGTCAGATAAGTGTCAGTGTAGCGTCCAAATCTTTAGCAGAATGTACACCTTTTGTTGACACGTGTTTCTGGTCCTTAGCACATAGCTCACACCGACACCGCTCGTAGATGAAAGCAATACGTGTTTTATTGATCCAATTTCCTTCGTACAAGTCAGTCAATCAACTTCCTTTCTTCCTAAAAGTACGCTGATTACTTGGACATACTTTAAGTAGGCTATCCACAGGTTATCCACAACTTAATCCACGTAGATCGTTCCATATAACACGTTTCATAACACGTTTCATAACACGTTTTGTGAGGATTTATGTCTAATTCTGCTGTATTTCCCTCAGTAGTGTCCTCCTACGAGTCCCGCCCTCTGCCCTGCCTCTCTCCGAAGGCACAGCTGTGCCTCATCTCCTGTGATCATCTCCAGCTGACATAAATACTCCTGTCACTCTCATTCCAGTTGTCAGTCCGTCCGTTTACCAACCTAGTATTCCGACCCGTGAGTTGTCCGTTTGTTCACTCTGTGAGATTCCACCACTAACAATCCGTTTTTGTTTTCAACTTACCTGTCGAGCCTCGGGTTTTCACCTGCACGAAGAAGTCTTCCAGTTTGTTCCTCGGAGATCAACTGTGAAGTCTTGGCAATCCTGTGTCGAGCCCCGGGTATCACACAGTCGATCCAGCCTGCCTGCCAGCCGCGGATGCGGACTAGCCACTTTCCGGCTTGGATCGGAGCGCGAGGACGCGCCTCCGTGTTGAAGTGTGACTGTTTTTCTGTCGGCTTCGTCTGCCGCTCCGAAGGATTAGCCACTTTCCGGCTTGGACCCGTGCGGAGCGCGTGGAGACGCCTCCTATTGACTTTAACCATTTCCTGTTTTTCCCCTGACTGAGAGAAATAAATGATCTTGGTTTGAAATAGTCCTGGTTTACCAACCAGGAAACACAGTAGATGCCTGTGAGGCCCCTCCATGCTGTCTGTATGTCAACTGGTTTGCATGAATTTTCACTGCTGTTTGCTGGGTAAAAAGCACCACTGCATCAGCTGTGAGCTGCATTATTAAATCCAGTTTAAAGAGCATCATTACTTCTTACGAGACACATTCCTAAATGAATATGTTTAGGGGATAAAGGCCACAGGAGGGCCAGCAGGCGTTCAGTATGATCATTTGAATATTTCATTGTGTCCAATGCTGTTTCTTCACAGGTTTAGACACATGACTGTTTTGCTGTTTCCTAATTAGGATCCAAGTCTTCAAAAGTGGAGTTATGATTTCAATTTACAAGTCATGTTAAGTTTGCACATTGGTCATTGATCATCATTTAGCTCTCACAATTAAGCTTCAGGGCATTTTGTTCATGATGTAGTTTTTATTCCCATAATGCAAAGAGTGAACACTGTCACGAGCATCAAGCTGAAATGAAAATCACATAAATGACTTTCTGAAGAAAAGCTCTTCACTTCAGAGATTCTATTGGGCGACTGTGGCTCAGTGCCGATCGTCCCTCAATCAGACGATCGGTGGTTCGATCCCCAGCTCCCCAATCCGTGACGATGCCTTGTGCCTTGCACTTAACCCCAAAATTGCTGTATGAATGGGTGGGACTAATTAGATAGTCATGATGGGCAGGTGGCACCTTGCATGGTAGTCCTGCCATCAGTGTGTGAATGGGTGAATGATGACATGTAGTGTTAAAGCGCTTTGAGTGGTCAGAAGACTAGAAAAGATAAATACAAGTACAGTCCATTCATTTTTCCTGATCTTTCAGAAGCAGACAGTCATGTTCATCTTCACATCACTCTTCTAGTTGAGTTTGTCTCTGTGTGTGGAACATCTTGTTGTTGATCTATAGACACAGAGGAAGACAGATGGTCAGATGTGATCTACTAGTCTGAACACTCACTCCTTCTTGTCATCCAACATTCTCACTCCCAACTGGTCAAATACCATCGCTCTGTCAGTGATCCAAACTATGACGCTCTAGGTTCCCTTCTTGCATCAGTTTTGGACGTGTCAGGGACGGCTTGTCAGTTTCCGTTCCTCACATGCATAGTGTCTGTTCAAAATAAGCTCCCGCCTTCAAAGGAAGGTAGGTTTAGGTAACAAAACCACTTAGTCAGTTTTAGGAAAAGAGCATGGTTGACATTACCTTGACTGACTAAAGACTCACCTCACTACCGAGCGATGAGACTGATGACTATAGCGACTGACATGACTTTTAGTTTGATTAGAGGTCTGTGTTTAAATCACAAGTTAGCCTCACTGTTTCACACACACACTGTAGTGTAAAACCCACATACACCTACTGAAACAAATACTCACTGCAGCAGTAAATGTGTATTAATCCGCTGCTGAAAATACTCCCCACTTATCCCATAATTGCTCGCATGATATCAGACAGAGTTGCCAACTTGTTGCACTTCGTTTGAGCTCGGATTTAAAGGTCTGCACCCAGGCGTTGTTTCACTGTAGTGATTCAATATAACAAAGTACATTCCCTAAGGTAGCCTGCTGTGATTATAGCTAGGTTACTTGTGTGCACAACAGCACCCTCACATTGTGATGCTCTTTTTTTCTGGCTAATTCGTATTCATAAATATGAACTAATACTGCCAATGATTGGTTTTATGTCTCCCAGCAACGTTGTCTTTATTATTAAATTAAATAGTACTTGTGGTCTCCTGCTTGTGTGTGTTGTGAGAAAGGCCAGTGACAATGTGGTTATAAATTGCCATTATAATTGACATGTTGGGTGCACTTGTTCTCATTTCCAGTTCTACATAACCTACTCTGTCTAACGCTCTCTCTGCTCGTGTTGTGTGCCATGTCTGCACATCTAAGATATGAACTGCAGCTCAAAAGTCTCACAAAACTGTCCCTTTAATTCCTTTGAGAGTGTCCAACAACACAATCATTGGAGCATAAATGGTAAAGTACCACACTTTATTGCACAAGGGACAAGACACACAGTCACACACCATTATTGTACACTGTTTGCAGCTGACATTTGGCCACTTAAAGCCTTTCAGAGTGTACACATGTCAGGGTTAGTCTCCAGTCTTCGTTCACTTGGGGTGCGGTGCTCGGCCCCAGCCGGCCCTCTCTCTGGTGTGCAGCCTGAAGTGGGTGTTGAGGTGCGCCGACTGGTTGAAGCATTTCCCGCAGACGTGGCAGCGGAAAGGCTTCTCCCCCGTGTGGATCCGGTGGTGCCTCTTGAGCATACTGACCGTGGTGAAGCTCTTCCGGCACACTGCGCAGCTGTATGGCTTCTCCTTAGTGTGCCAGCGCATGTGGACCTCCAGCTGGCAGGCGAAGCTGAAGCCCTTCCCGCAGTCCTTGCAGCTGTGCCACCTCTGGATGCTCTGGCTCGGGTGAGAGGAGCGAGAGGGCGGCGGCTTCAGGGATCTGACGTTCTTGATCTGCAGTATGTGTGCACTCTGTTTGCCGTTTGAGCGCAGGAACCCTCTCGCCAGCTGGTCTGTTCTCGGCGTCCTGTGACTCTTTGTGGCGCCGGCTCGAGAATCGCCCTGAGCCGCTCTGCAGTTTGAATGAACAGTCACGGAGGGCGGTGAGCTGTCAGCCTCCCCGTCGCTCTCTGCCTTCACCTCCTGGGATGCGAGTGGAGCTGGGGACACGCTCTGTCTGCCGCACACTGTTGGTGCCGGCGGAGGATGTGACCTCTGCGGTGGCTCCACGCGACTACAGCTTCCTTCCTCCGAGTCGCTCGCTTCTTGTGAACAATTCGTCGGACACTTTTTGAGGTTTGGCTCTTCTTTGATTTGCGGCAGCAGCTCCACGCCGATTCTACACTCGGACTCCCGTGGCTGAGCATCCTCTTGGGGCTGGACAGAGTGAGGCTCTGAAAGAAACAGGAAACACCTTCAGTAATGCTGGCTGTGTTTGCACGAGCATACCGTGTTGCTGTGATCTTTGCAGGGAGGACCAAAGATAAACTGCTTTCATCTTTTAGCATGCCGTGAAAAAAAGGCTCCACTTTGGTTTCTCTTTGTTTCAACCAAACTCCATTCAAAAAGGGTATGATTTCAATTTTGTTTCATATTTATTCTCATTATAATCAACCCAAGATCTTTTTCGTTGCCAGTGTTTTGGTACACTTTGGAAAAAGAAAAACAAATGCGTTTAATGAAATCTTAAGTAAAGAGGTAAAAATGAAACACCAAAGTATGGTTTACATTTTATGCTTCCTTGCCATTTGCAAGTGTTGATTTATTTTATTCCTGCAGATTGAACCTTGAAATCATACAGGCTATTAGACTGTAGGACACAATTTTAAATTCTCATATTATTGATAGGTTGTTCTGCTAAATGTAGCACACATATGTCTATGTTCTGATATTGAGCTCTTTTTCGTCAATGACTACTTTCAATAACTAACAAGTTTATTTTTACTTAATCCCACACACACCGCCACAAATACTCATGGAGCAGGAAATGAAATGAACACCTGCCAAATACAGGGGAAGGCAGGTGAACATTTGAGGTCAGCAGGCAGGTTTTCCTTACATTAAGAAATATTAGTTTGAAAAAAAATAGTTATACTATGCTCAGGGATTAAGGTTATATGATATATTCCACCTTTCTACCGTCTGGTGCAACGGACTCCGTGTTTACAGTTATCTACATAGTTTCAGAAGCAGAGGACAAACCTTCAAACTCATGATGGTTACAGACTCATCTGAGTCAAGGCTCACTGAAATGTGGGCTAGTTTTAGTAAGGGAGGGGTTAGATAGGAAGCGTTAGCTGTTGTGAGGAGGGGGAGACAACGAGACCATCATGATTTGCTGTTGTGCTCGCAGTCAAGGATTCAAGGATCATTTACTGTCATTATGCAACACGGGGGTGTATCATCCTGTTTCCTGTCTGTTTGTGTACATCTTTACCTGCAGACCACTACGTGGAGAGTTTGTTTTGTACTGTAATGTGTGTTTGAGAAGAAAAAAGATACACAATATATGCAACTAAAAAAAAGGAACATTTGGACAAAAACAATGTAGTGGCAGGTAGAAATGCTCAGTGACCTGCCACATTTCAGACCCTGCTCATCTGCAGCTTTTCATGCATTTGTTGACAATAGGGAGCTATAGCATGAGAAAAGTGTGGAATCATCTGATGTGAAAGATGTTCACTTTCACAGACTACTCAGTGAATCAGGGTCTGACCTCAGTGTTTTAACATTAGCTGGCTCTCTCTTCAGTTCTCAGTCGTTCTCTTCCATTTCCTGTTTGTTAATGAGACCAAAGGCCCACCATTCCTCCGACATGTCCTGTACTACACACAACTTTAAGACACCTTCTACAGCTGATATAGTAAAACTACAATATGGAATATTACTCTGGAATGGGGTTGGAGAGCATTTCTTAATTTAAGAATTTTGGATGCTACTTGACAAGTATTTACCCATAATAAGAGAAAAACAATCTCAAAAGATCATTGATACATTAAAATGTGATATCTATGTTGCACATGTGAAGCCCATACTGAAACAGGGGTCTGTACATGTAGATGGAAAGTTGTCTCTAATCTGATCTGATTATCATAACCTACTGTTGGTTTTCCTTCATTGAAAACTGCCTTGTGAATGTATTGTTCTAATATTGTATTCACAGTGTTATTATTTTCTGTTTTTGAATTGTTATTATTATAATGATTTTCAGTTGCAGTTTGGTTATATTAGAGCAATACAACTACTTAAGTTAAGGAGACAGAAGTACTTGGATAGGTTATTTTTAAAGAACATGTGCAATATGGGTGCAAATGGCATCTGCCAAATAAATACACCATTATTACAACATTATATTTACATTAATAATTGACATGATTTGCTGTAATATTCAGTCCGAAGTCATCCTTTGGTTTTCAAAACATTCACGTTGAAAGTATTTAAAATTCCAACATTTAATCTGTTTTTAATTTGTAAACCACGTTAACTTATTTCAATGTCTCACAATACATTCAAATCAGCATATTCTCACTGTTTACGACATGAGAGCATCAGAGCCACTGTACCCACCGTGAGCTGTTTGTAGTACGTGTAGTACTCTTATTGTTCAGTTTCTCCTATTGTAGATAGTTTCCATTTAACAAAAAATAGACACGATGTAATAATGTATGACACATGCTGAGCGATGAGTATGAACACACAACTACAGCGATGAGTTAGAACGGACATATTGGGAGTGGGATTTGGCGTGACATCCAGCACTCAGTGACCAGAGCAGGTCGGTGACGGTCAGCTGGTCCTCACCTGGCTGCAGCAGGAGTCGCTGGACGGCTACGTTGAGGAGCCGCTTGAGCCGCTCGTTCTCCTCCTTGGAGCGCAGGATCTCGCTCTGGTACTCCGCCACCGTGTTCTTAACGGCGCGGAAAATCTCCTCGGCGGCCGCTGTCAGCCTGTCGTTGAGAAACGCGTTGAGCAGCTCCAATTTGGTCATGTTTTCTGATGATGTCTCCGGGAGGCGGAACGTCCTTCTGTTTACATCCACTGACCCGGAAGTAGAAGCGTACCGGCCTCTGCGTCATGTTCAGCGCATGGGGGGCTGTACCGCCACCTGCTGACAGGAGACCAGTAGCAGGTTCAAAGACCCAGGCATCCCGGTACCGACAAGATCCCGGTTATACTTGTGCATTTCACAAATGAGCGGGTGTTCATTTAGAAGCCATACATCAGGCCTACGTGTGGAGCAACTGTTTCAGACGGCCAGTCGTCCCTCTAATGGGCCTTGATCTAGTTTTAAGGCCTAAACTGAGAGACAGCGAGTGCGACTACTGACAGTGGCAAGCTTCAGTTAGGCGTCAGTCAGGTGTCAGGACTGTGGCACGTCCCTGACACCTGACTGACGCTTGCCACAGACTAGCCATTGCGGTGCCAGTGCCACAAGGAGGATCTTGGCCTTGGTGACTCTAAACTATCAAATTGATTATACATAAAGTATATTGTTACAAACTGCTCGTTGCACGTGACAGGAGGAGAGACCAGTGACGTTAAAGTGCCAATGCAATGCTTTATTTGAAGTAAACACACTACAACAACATTACTGCTGACAAACGAGCACGGGGTGTGGAGAGTCAATGCAGGAGTGAGTGGAATGTTTGGATGAGTGAGGAACGTGCAAGTGTTTCAAAAGGCAAAATGTTCACCCAGACCAAAGACTGTGTGGATCCTAGATAAGAGGAAGAGAGAGATAATGAAAAGGGGCTGAAGTTTGTTGTGTCTGTGGAGGCCAGATGGAGAAATAACACCCCTCCTGACTGCAGGCTCCTGCTGAGTTAGTCCAGTGCAGAAAGAGAGTGGTTGTAACAGTCTATTACTATATAAAGTATATGAAACATGTGTTTCATGAACCAACCAAAAAGAAACTCATTGATGGACAGAAAACCCGGGGCCAGGTAGTGATATTTCTGCATAGGAGTGCTGGTTTGTGTCTGGGGATGTCTGAAAGCTGCCATGTGTAGTTAGTCTGCTTTGTGCATTGTACTTTAATGAGAACTTGGAAAGTGACAGCATGCATTCACAATACACATATATAGGGACATTCTGTCACTGTTCTTTGAAAACCGTTTCCTAACAGAATAATCAGTCATATGCTATATTCCATTGTTATCTCCCGGTCACCCTATTTCCCTATTAAGGGCTTCCATATTTCTCTGAAATGTGGAACTAAACTGATGTTCAATTAAGCCTTAATTTGTCTGGAAGCTTTTCAACAGTGACTTCTTTTCTTTTCCCTCTGGAATAACCATTATTTTCAAGAATGCAGTTAATCATTTAGAGGACTCTCCTGCTGACTCTCCAACAGCTAGAGTTATGTTTTGACTTACTGTGGATGCTTCTGATCAGAGCAAACTATCCCACCAGGTGTCGGTTTTGTGTTATTTTTTTACTGGAACTTTCTTTCATGGATTTACTGGAAATTCCCCCCCTCAAATAAATACTTACTACAGTTGCCAGTTCATGAAGTACCGCTCACTGAAGCTACAGTAATGAACATTGGCACTGCAATAAACCCTCCTTTATGAAGGTTACAACACTCAGATCTCAAGAGGCGGGGATTGAACTTTGTGTTCATTTTGGAGAATGCAGTTTGTGGTGCTTTTGAATTGTACAGCATTGTACAAAGAGGTGTTCTAATATTTGGTCACACCCACGTCATTTACAATCTCATCTAATTCACATACCTTTACCAGAACACTACTTTAAATCAGCAGTCATTATTGATCCAGCTGGTTATTAAAAGCACTTTTTATTACACAGTAATATGTACAAGTGACTTTGAGAGAAAAGGTCAGGGCAGAGCCAACACGTATTCAGTCCAAAAAATGAGTTGATCTTTTCTCAGATCACATTCATAAAGCAATGCTAACACAAAAGAGAAGAGAACCAAAGACAGCGTTGAGTTCAAACAGTGTTAGGAACATACAAACATAAAACTGTACCTGAGGTGTTCAACAACAAAGCCCAGAGAGCACGCACACATTTAGCCCAGACTAGTTCAAAGGATACCCACTGAATAAAAGAACTGGTTAAAAAGATTAAATAAACATTTACATTTCAGTCAAACATTATAAAAACAGTAAAGAACAGCCACTGGCAGAAGGTGCTCTCCATGAGATCGCCCCATACACCTGATGAACAGAACATGGCCGATCATCCTCTCAGGCTGACCACATCTTTGCTGACCGAGTCATCATTAAATTAAAAGTGATAAGTTTAACGGTCATAATCTGGGAATCTGTTAACCCATCACAGATATAAAAAACAAAAACACTAGTAGTGGGGGGCACAGCAGGATTCATTATTTCCGTTCTCAGCTTGCTCTTCCCTTTGCATACACAGTATACAGACAAAACGAAACATTCAGCAAGATTTAACATCTTCAAGAACTCCTGCTAAAGTGATGACGCTCTTAACCTCCCAGCACCAAAGCTCGTTTACCACTTTCTCTTTTCAAGACCTGAAAAGTTTGAAAATGATCATGAACAGACATGATCAAATAATAATCTTAGCCCTGCAGAATAACTGTCAGGGTGAGCAGATGATCACATGGGCAGGAAATAAAAAAGGAGAGAATATGTCTAAAAGGTAAAGTAATATAAATATAAACCGAAAGCTTAAAATAAATTGAACCTTTAGGAAAGTTTTCTTTTTTTTTTTCTTTCTCAAACGCTGCACAGTGGGTGATGGTCTTCACTTATGTGAACAAGACATGGTTGTGGGCGGGGAGTAGATGGGACCCTCAGCTGTCAATCATCTCGGACAGTTCCTGCAGCAGGTCGTCCTCTCCGATGCCAGGGTCCACGTCTTCCTCAAGGTGGTCCTCGGTGAACTCATTGATAAGCTCCTCAAAGTCGTCCATGGCCGAGGTGGAGGCAGCAGCACTGGAGGTGGAGACGGTGCGGGAGGCGGCTACACTCAGTCTGCGGGACTTCGGCTGGGTGGGGGTTTTCAGGACCGGGCTGAGAGGTACAGAGAGGCGGGTTATTTATTTAGTGAGCGATAACGCTGCCTTCATGTCAGATGGAAAAAAAAAAAAACTTCCACACATTTTCACTGGGATTGTCTAATCTTTCTACAAACACTTAAAAAATGGCCACGGATTTTTACAATATTTTTAGAACCGTAAAAATACACCTTTGGAAGTAGAAAGCAATGGACAGATGTGAAGTTTTGTGCGAACGTTTTTTGTCGTCTAATGACGGCAGTAAACACCGATGTATCTGAGACATTTTTGTTTATTAAATCTAGAATTTTTTTGGCAGGAGGACTGTTTGGAGCTGTTGCTCTTCATCAGATTGTTACCCTCCTCACTTGAGGGGAGATCATTTCATGTTAAAACTCTCTGTGGACCTTTACCTTTGGGGGACTGTACAGGCCTTGCTGGCAGCAGCAACTATTACAGTCTGCTTGGTGTCTTGGCTCAGACTCTGTTTGAAGACGGGGACAGTCTGGAGGTCCTCTCTCAGCGGGCTGGAGCCGGAGTCCAACAGGGTGCCGGGACTTCGGGGAACAGTAGAACTCAGCTGAGCCTCTGCATTAGAGGACGGGAACTCCTGACAATGGAAGAAAAGTTACTAGAGGTCAGCAACAGGGCTAGATGGTTTAGATTTAGATTATTCTTTAAATGTAAGATTAGAAAACAATCCAATTATCTGTTGGCAGAATAAAAAAAGGGAAAACTTTAAAGACCAACTGTGTAAATTGTCGGAAAGAAAAAAACATGTCAATGTGTTAAGGACAGGGTGAGTAGAAATGTGTAAAGAAAAAGTAATGAATACAAAAAAACTACAACACCAGGCTGGCATGATAAATACTTCCACAAAGTATTAGAAATAAATAGTAAAAACAAGGTACATTTACAAAAATTAGGAAATATATGGGAATATAAAAGCAAATATGAAATGTGACATTAAATTGATTTCAGATACATTTGAAAAGGTCTTGGCACATGCTCAAGACGGACTGATAAGGAATACAGCGAGCCAGCCTACCTGTCTGTCTCTGCACGCTGGCTCCTCCAGTACTGTGGAGGTGCTGTTCAGAGGTTTGACAGCAGCGACAGCAGACCGCTCTGCTCCCCTCCTCTTCTGACCCGGCTTCAGCTGCACTGCAGGCTTCACCACAGACGGCCTCACGTTCAGCTTGGGCCTCACTGAAAAGGAGGCACAGTCTGAGTGATGAATATAGAGCTCTGTGAAACAGGTCCAAATCTACAGTGGGTCAAACAGAAACATGGGTATGCATGACAGTTAACGGTGCAATACCTTTGGTGTCTGCAGTGTGTTCTGGGGATGTCTTCTGATTATTGATCTGCATGGCTGGTGACGGTGCAGTAGAATTAATTGTGTTTTTGTCTGGGACCTCCCTGGAGCGGCTGGGGCTCTGTGAGTCGGACTCGGTCTCCAGTGGAGAAGAGCTCTGCTTCACAGGGGCTGAGGGGGCAGCTTTGACGGCAGCCCCTCTAGCACCAGGATTGCTGTTCAGAGGGGAAGCAGCCTTGGATCTGAGGGGGATCGGTTTACCAACAGGGAGCTTTTGGGTGGAGAGGGTAGAGTCAAGGGCCACAGTGGTGGAGGAAGGTGATGAGGAGCCTGAGCTCATCAGACTGACTCTGGCAGGAACCTTCCTCTTCAGGGTTCCTTCATCGGTGTGTTTCTGAGAAGACTCTGCTTCTGCCGAGTCTCTGGCCTGCTCCTCCATTTCCTGCTTGCGGAGACGTTTCTCCCACATGATCTCCTCAAAGCTCTTGACCTTGACGTTGTTACTGGTGGCAGCACTGGTCTAGAAAAGATACATGAATATTACCATCAGGTGGAGTCAACAGAATAACAAGCTAACCGCAGGCAATACTGCAGTGTCGGTTACCTCAGGAGCAGCAGGAGTCTTCACTGAATTCTCTGTCACTTCAGCACTCTTCTCTGTTGTGACGTTGCCTGCTGAATGAAACATCAATTTCACGTTAGAAATTAAAAAACATGGCATGTATATGCTAATTCAGAATGATATTCATCCTGAAAGACATGTGTCAACACACAGGGAACAAAAGTATAAGAGAAAGCGCTATCTTACTTTGGGAATTCAGTTTCTTGATGCGCAGCAGGCGAGGCTTCTTAGCATCGTTCTCCTCAGTATCTGAGCTCTTCTTGATTTCAGCCTCCAGGGTCTGCCGAACCTGGATCTTCCCTGCCTTCTCCCTGCGGATCTCCTCCAGAGTCTTTACTCTAACCTGCCCCACGTTTGTAGCCTCGGGATCAGGACCCGCTGTGTTAGACTCCCCCTGGCTCTTCTTAGGGTCGGGATCCTGTTCCTCCTGTCTTTTCTTCTTGGCACGAAAGACCTCAGAGAAGGTCTTAACATGGCTAACGGAGTCGTCTCTGATGGTGACGGCTCGCTTGACCCCCTTGGTAGTTTTGGTTCTGTTGATTTCTGGAGCCATGGCAGAAGGGTTTTCTTTTTGGCTCTGGGACTGAGACTTTGCAGTCTTCTCCTGTCTGATCTCCTCCAGTGTTTTGATGCGAATCTGCTCAGGAGCTCTCCTCTTTGGCTCCCTGACAGTCTCAGCTGATCGGGGAGGACAACAATAAACAAGCTTTTAGTCAACATGCATGAGTATCGTCTTTCCAGAAAAAATAATGGACAATGTCAGCCACTCATAGATACCTGGTTGAGTGGGAGCAACAGACACAGCCAATCCAAGTCTGTCCTTAACAGGCTTCAGAGCTGGAAGAGAGAAAAAGGTTTTAATAGATACATTTTATTATTGTCGACTTTCTAATTATGAGCTCCAACCTGAACTCTTTCATTTTGACTGCAGAAACCAGGGTCCAAGTTCTGGACACATATTACTTGAAAAGTAAAAATAAAGAATTCACCAGGAACTTGTTGGTTGATGTGTCCTGACACTCACCTTTCTGAGGGGGCAGGAATGGCTCTTCCTCATCCACCACACTGCCCAGACGTCCAGCCAGACCCCTTCTTAGTGGGACTCCTTCTCCAAACTTCACATCTACAGCGAGGACAAGTCATGAGCTGTGCAATCATTACAAGCACTGGCATTCAATTTGTCAAGACGGTGGAACAAGAGTGCAAATTTACCGTTGTTGGGCATCTTCCTTCCAAGTCTTTCAGCCAAACCGCCTCTTGTTCTCCCAGTTTCTTCAAAGATGAGTGGGCCTACAATAACAGATTGAGAACAAGGTAATCATGATTCTATTTCTCTTTAGGACCATAAGTAACAGTTACTGTCCTATCAGTTCATCTGAAATATTTCTAGTAGTTCAACATTAACATTATTCTTTAGTTATCATGAGGGGAATAGCCAGATCTTTCATCTCATCATCAGCCAAGTGAGATGCTGCTTCAAAGCCACCATGAGCAGTATATACTGCAGTGCATAAGGCCTGAAATGAAGCTAGCATCAAGGTCATCTGGAGCCCAGGTACTGATATTTCTTTAAAACTTATCATACATAAAACATTTATGCTGGCAGTATCAATGTGAGCAAATTCATCTATGAAATCAGTTCCTCAAAATCATGTCATCTAACATGAAATGAGTAAATCTAGGAGGCAGAATGACTCAAGAGTTGTATATCCAACTCCTCGCAATTCTGACAATCTCACAAATTCTATTTTTACCGTCTCCCGCCTCGTAGAAGGTTGGTCCAAACAAAGACTGGATGTTTTCTTTCTCTCCATTGGCCGAGGTATCAGGACTCTGGATGGGGTAACCAGCTCTCTTCATGCTGGCCTTTAGGGCCTTCCTCAGCCGAATCTCCTCCAGGGTGCTCACTCCAAAGCTCAGTGAGTCTGTCCACACACAACATACCCCATCAAAAACACTATCGGTCCATACGGGTCACACAGGACTGTACACACAAACTGTATAATCACCAATCATGTTTCCAAAATGTAGTGTGTGAGCGCAGTCTCACCTGATTTGGGTAGTTTCCTAGGAGAAGGGCCAACCTTTCCGTCTTCTCCCTCCTCTGAGAACTGGTCTGGAAACGTAAGACATGCGATTGGTAAAGACCACAGGGAATATCTGTCTCTAAATGAGGACTAGGCGAGACAAAGAAGTCATTTTGGGATCAAATCCAGCTCACCATCTTCATCCTCGTCATCGTCTGCTGGATTAATCACCACTGGTGGGTGGGTGGGGCTCGGTACTGGCTCCTGAGTTTCTGTCTTGATGACACCTCTGAGCTGTGGATTGGCTGCAGTGGGGAGGGGGGCAGCGGGCGGGGGGGCTGGTTCCTCGTGTGGCTGTTCCTCCATTTTGCTTAGACCTGAGAGAATTATATTGATCATCACACTGATTTTTTACAGGTGGATTTTAAATGATCTTAAACTCTCTACATTTTAATTCTTAGTGTGTTGCTAAAGAAAAGTCCCCTCACTTCTATCAGGGGGGACAAACATGCCATCGATGCAGCGGGGCCTTTCGTGGAAGAAGGCACAGTGAGGCTTCTGGCAGCCGGCTGGCTGGTTCTCCCAATAACAACATTCCTCCTTTCGGTTTTTCTGTGTGATGAAAGAGATAAACAACACGTTAAAGCGTGCATGGAGGAGATGAACTGATCACATCTTGATTGGATCGGTGTCCATTAGGTTACACCTATACATCCAGCAGCACAACTGAATTCATACAAAGTCAAAACAAAAGATCTATAAGTTTAATCACTTATACACTGATCGTGTTATTGTTGTAAGTCTGTGAACTTTGATCTATATCTCTGATAACATGGAGGAGCAGTATTTCAATGTATTTTAGTCATCTACAGGGGAAAGGAGCTCGGACGTGAACAGAATGTACTCTAAATAACAATGTAAAAATCCATTTCTCTTTTAGGTAACAACTGTTTATGTATATTAATTATCACAAAAGTCTTTAATTGACTGTGCAGTACATGAAGTGTTCCTCCCAACAGGCCCAGGCCCACGGGAGGTTAATGGCCAGTCAAGACACACACAGCCTTGAGTGGGCAAAGCCTTCTTCAGTTTAGGCATTATATTCAAACAATGCATACCGTCATCTCCATGTGGCGAAACTTGCAGACGGTGCGGAAGCAGCGTCCCTCCTGCCAGAGGTTGCAGATGATCTCACTTCCCATCGCTGCCTCACAGTGTCTGAATGGGCAGCTGTCTCCCTGCACGGTAAAAGAAACACAGTAAGACCCTGCTCTTCCTTCTGGCCACCAGTCACTGTACGACTGGTTACACTATGTGTGAATACATGAGCTTTGTGCTCAACATTGCTTACTTTAGTGCAGGTGGAATAGTAAAAGAAGTAGCAGTCGTCTCCATGGTTGGTCATAGTAATGCCGGTCTGCGTCTTGAGTGGCGGAGGTGATTAGGTTACGACCTTTAACCCAGCAGCTGGTTCTCTTCAGTGCAAATAGGACAAAGCACAGCAACGCATCACAAACAGAAGCTTTTCTCCATTACATCAATTCACTACGAGTTCTATAAAACATCTGCACACGCACAACTAATACCAAAGAAGACTACATGTAGTTAGTTTATTTTCATACAAAATAGAATGACTCGCTTCAACTTGTACATTTGGGATTCTTACTGGAATGAAGTGCAATATCATCACTACATGAACATTTTAGGTTTCACACGACCCATTGGGTTTTTACGTTCGTCTTGTAGTTCTCTCATACAGATTGTGAACATTTATGTGCTTTGAATGCAACAATTAATGAACAATTCGTATGTAAAAACAATGGAGGGGATAAGAGAAGTGTATGTTCAATAAAATAGACTGTGCAAAATTTGAACCAGATAGGGAAACTTTTCACAAATATGATCTGTTCTTTGACAAGTACCTGCATATGTGGAGAAGCAAAACTACCAGTGCAGGGATTGGAATTAAAATAATTGTATTGAACTATAAGAGTGTTTCTTCAGGGAGAGCCCTTGATTTACAGTAAGTATGCTTCATTGCAAAGAGTAAAATATCTTTACTTAGGACTAATTCAAGAAGAGACAAAATAAATGATGTACGATATGAGATGTAAATAAAAAATAAAACAGATGACACAAATCATTTTGTGATCTGTTGACCAATCAATTATGTTTTTCTGGGAATTAAATGCAGATTCTAAGTAATTCCAATTAAGATGACCAGTAAGCATTCACACATGTATTTTTGAGCCCTAAATAAAATGGAATGTATACAAATAAGCCAATGTTGATTTTGTTCTTACTACTGTGCCACATTTACCTGAGGTGGCTGAGAAGTTGTCTACCTCTTGAGCGCAGTGCTGGTAGGGTATCTCCGTGGTGGTATGGAGTCCTGAAGGAACACTTGATCCGTGAGATAAGAGGAAAAGAGGGGTGGGTCGCCCAGAGACACTTGTCTTCCTACGACATTCCGTTTCTCAGACTCTCTGAGACATCTCCGCCAGACTGCTAAACATTACTGATGGTGAATGCAAGAGTCCTTTGGAGATTTTTTTTTATTAATTGGTGAGACTAATGAAAGAAATAAAGC